TATGCTTTTCATTTATTTTTTAATAAAATATTAAAGAAAAAACTATAAAAGTTAGCTTTTTTACAAATTATTTTTTCTTTTATTCTTCACTTATTTTGTTTAAAATCAGTAATGTTAATTTAAATAATTCTTCATAGCAAGGTAGCATCTGTGAAAAGTAAATTCTAACATAGAATAAGCAATTTCTTATTCTGTCAGTCTAATGGAATCAGCAGAAAATTTCAAGAATGTTTACTGTTGGCCTTATTCATAGCAATCAGTTTTCTAAATTAAAACATTTCAATGGAAATTTATTTTTTGTGTTGTCATTTACTTATTTAACCTTTTTTTTATCACAACAGTCTGATTCAATTTTCTTTCATTTTTTATGTTTCTAACAGTAAAATATTTGATTTAAAGTTGTTAAGAAAAATATCCTGATCATTAAAGTATTAAACAGAACAACAACAACCAGATTATGTGTATGAGTTTTTTTATACAATATTAGTGATTTAGTCAGTGAGAAAAAAATCTAGCATGGTTGCTAGAAACTTGATATATACAGAACCTTAAAGAAATCCAAAAATTTTTGGAAATGGTTTTAGGAACCAAATTTAAGTTGGGAAGCTCAAATAAACATATTTCTTATCTTCACTCAATACTTTGGAGCTTATTCACAGTATTTTCTTTGTACATTCTCTCCTTTGCCCACTCTTTTTCTGTTTTCTGCTTGGTTTCACTTGGCCACCATAATTGGCAATGTCAAACTGGAGCTGCTGACATGAGAGGCAGCAGCAGCAGCAAGAGGAGGAGCCAAAAAGCACAGATGCCTTTCACAACTGAAGGAAACTACCACTACCTGTCTGCGTACCAATCCACCCTTTTCTCTTTACAGCCAGGTCTACCTATCATAGAACATTTTTATATTCTTCTAATTCTTCCTACCACTATTGCACTGTACCATTTTTATCACAGACTGAACTATTTAAGAGAAGGAAAGATAAGAAGATAATGACCTAACCTCTTACTGTTCACAAGAAATTCCATTTGGCAAATGGTATCCTCCATTCTCTCTGTAGATTTTTTTGATTTTCTTTAGCCACTACCTTTTCCAGACAAATAAAACTTTCAGCATTCACCTCCTTGTAAACAAAATTTCTATTAGGTGAAGAATTTTTAACCAAATTTTCAGTTTTTCTTTTTTCTTAGTGGTGTTAAAAGATTGCTCCATTTCCAGTTAGCTAAAATAATAAAGTATAATTAATAATCACAGACTAAGATCTTCTAAGCACAAGATATTGTATGGATTAAAGAAAAAAACTTCTAACAATATTCACTTTTTTTAAAAAAAAATCAGATTTAAAATGTATGAAAACAATTGTTCGTATTTGATAAAAACCTTGACAAACTTTTAAAAGCCTAAAAGAAACATAAATAAAAACCAAATATTTCAAAAACAGTTTTTTTTTCTTTGTTTATATATCATTTTATTAGTACATTTTTATAAGACATACACAGTAAATAATATCTAGTAACTTATCAGTTGATAAAAATTATTCTTTAATCATTAGATTGTTCATGATCAAGACCATTAAGCAAAACTAGAGATTTATAATTAGTAAGACAATTTGTCTTAGTTTTTTCATTAATAATTTATTATGTGATTATTATTTGTACTTAGGCTGACTGGAAATGGAGAAGTTTTTGAAACTAAATTAACAGCTCTTAGAAAACAAAACTGAAAATTTAATTAACAAAAATTCTTCCCTTAATATAAATTTTGTTTACAAGGAGGTGAATGTTGAAAGTTTTTTTTTGGTCTGGAAAAGGTAGTGGCTTTTGGATTGGACAGACAAGGAATTCCCTTCAGCATTTTTGGTGTCAGGAAATTTTGATCAGATTTCTTTTTTTCTATCCATGAAGCAATCAATACAAGAAATATAATCTTCACTTTCAGAAATCTTTTATATTGAATTCATTTGCTAACTACATTTAATATGATGTTTCTACTTACTTTCTCACCTTCTCTACAAGTACATCTTATTGCCTTATACTGTCATATGAATACTAAAATACAGAAGACTGTTTTTTGTCTCAACTTTAGCAATCAATTCCAGTATCTCTTCATTCAATAAATTCTTAGATATAGAAAGATGGTCTTTTCAAATACAAAAATTAAATTTCATAAAATATAGCAAGATATGCCTTGTTTTCTTAGTTTCTACCTTATTTTTACATCATGAATCTGACATTTTATTTCTAGTTTGTTAGTACTATATTTTACTTTATTAGTGTTTTGGTTTGTGCCTGAAGAATACTATGTCCAAATCATTAACTGATGCATATTATATATAACCTGTTTTACATTAAACAAAATGTCTACCTTTGTGACTTACCCTTTTCTTGCATCGCTCCAAAGTCTCTGCAGATCTTTTATGAAGGCACCCAGCCCAGATCTGACTTTTCAAAATGCAGGTATATTTTCACCCATTTTTTCTCATCATTTATTCATCTAATATATAACAGTGTTATTTTGATGTAGTAGCTGGGTTAGTTATGTGAAGAAAACATCAGAAAATGTCACTACCATTTCTCCCAGTTGAATGTTTGAATGCTTCTGATTCTTTCTTGTGCTGTTGTAATTTATCTACCATTAAGCTGTTGCTGATGATAAACAGGAATGTGAATATTTTATACTTCACATAGCAAAGAAAGTTACTCATATCATTATATAGCATAATGTATAGAAATGTGTTACCTGTTCATGATTATTGAATAACTTCTACTTTCTTTTAGAAGATATTGTTGTCTTATGGCTAAAACAATGCTAAAGAAATTTTATACCAAAGTTTTTGCTATTATATGCAAATGCCCTCAGAAAACTCTGACATATACAAACACATATTACAACTAAGATTCCTTGGTACATTTGTTATAATTGTAAATTTCAAATTTAAGAAAAGTTTAATTTTTCTAACTAAAATGTGTTAATGTTCTCACAATCTCTAAAAGTTGAACATTAATTTTTTTTAACTCACATTATCCAGTTTCTTTTCTGTTGCCATCATCCTAAAACCCTTTTGTCATAAAGTCACATAAGTCTTCCTATTTTTCATCAACTTTTTACTATTGCATAAAAATCAGCCAGTTTTCACAATTCATCTTTTTATTGTTTTTTTTTTTTTTTCCATATTTCTTTTAATAAATATTTTTCTATTGTAATTATTATTATATATATATATTATATATATATATATATATATATATATATATATATATATATATATATATATATGCTATTAGGAATATATTAAAATAATAATGGATGGCCCAAAAAGCTTGTCCATTTTTTTTTAAACTAATTATTTATAATAACATTCCTCCAGAAGTTCCATTTGTCTCAGCAAAGAACTGTGCCAGGTGGGTGCCCTTTTTTTTTTTTTTTTGTTTGGAAAAAAAAAAAAATAGTGCTGTCTCTGGTAACTAGAAAAAAAATGAGTGAAAACATACTAGCCAAGCTGTAAGAATTCTTACCTTTATTTCCAAAACCCCCCACCCCCACTCCGGCAAAAAAAATAAATAAACAAGTGATTTAGAATTATCTTAAGGTGAACATTATGCTTTTGCTTTTAACACAGACACATTTTGTCAATTGGTCAAGCAGCAGTTGTTCAAATTAATCATTTACTGGAAGGAGCTCATGATAAAACACTCTTCAAATTCCACAATATACATAGTATCAGCATCTTTAGTGGTTTATTTTGCTTAAAGCATCATCTCTTGCATTCCATGTTGTTGTAACTACCCACTTTTCATTATCAATTACTTTTTTTTTCCAAAAACACATTTTGGTAACAATTAGTGTAGAATATGGTCCATTATTTATTTTGACTTATGTAGAAGTCACATATCAAAGTGACTAACACTAACCAAGCTGGTAAAAATAATGTTCATTATTTATGTTGGCCACCTCATGCATCATATTAGATTATTTTCTCATGTCTTGATCATGAAATATTGTTCAGCCTAAAACTTTTGTAGCAATATCAATGCCAGCTGATATGTTGTTAAAGAAAAAACATCTGAAGGATGTTACAGAGATTGTTGATAGCTAATAATTGTCCAGATAATAACTAAGTGAAGTGGGCCTCATGAGAACCATATCAAATGATCTTGACAAAGAAGGTCACTGAGTGAAGCCAAAAGCAGAGGACTTGATGAATGACTGCTTTAGATGTAAGATGACAGGACAAAGAATATTATTCTTTATGAGACAGTGGTTACTAGCAGCTGAAGACAGAGGACCATTTGCCATGTCAGGTTACAACCGAATAAAATTTGCCTACTGCTACAATCTTGCCTCATGGTTTTATTTCATGGGTAACAATCTGGCTAAAGAATTAGTTTTTAAACCACAAGTGTTTGACTGGAAGAAGCTGCACCCTGAGAACAAACCTGGTGTCTGGTCTGAGCTGCAATGCTACACTTTTCAATCCATTTTTGGCACATTTGGTCATTTACAGTAAACTCTAAACTGCACAAGTTTTTTTTTGCATTTGCACTGCATTCTTATCTTTCTTAAAATAAACAAAAATATCATATATTACAAATATTGCTTATTTTCTTTAATGGTCAAATCAATAAACAAAAATAAACCAATTTTGATAAAATATTTTTAAAATGCACATTGATATAACAGCTGTAACAATAAAAAAAGTAATCTTTTTGAATGAAGTTAGTTAATGCTAAACATCCTAATTTAATCTAATGACAAATGTTTTAGGCTACTCAATAAATATTTTAAAATGATTTAATACACTTGGCCTTAATATTCAAAATGATGATACTTAAAACTTGATTTGTTATTTTTAGTTTCTATTTAATATGACTGCATTTTTCCTTTCATCAGAAATTAGCTGTGAAAAAATAAGTGATTGTTTGAATTTATTCGGTTTCATTGAACTATGCTATATCTGCTTCCAGTTCATAAAGTACACACACACAATTTTTTTATTTTTTAGGATTTGTCCTACAAGGATAAACATTGGCATGAATTTTGCTTTAAATGCTGTGAATGTGAGAAGACTCTAGTGAATCAACCATTTGCCCACAAGGACAATGAGATCTTCTGCTCTGATTGCCATGATGAATTATTTGCTGCCAGATGTGATGGTTGCAAAAAGCCATTCAAAGGAGGCATGTATAGATTTGAAACATTTTGTAAATAATTTTTTCAAGTGTGTCTCAAAGTTATTTATAAAATATGCCACATTTCTTTATTCTGTGTTGCTTTGAATATATCCATTGTCGCATTTATTAAAATGAATTTATTTTGCATTTATTTTTTTTAAATTAATGAAAGAATTTGTGAAATTTTAACATTATTTTTGGTATAGTGATAACTCTTATGATGGAATTATGCAAATGACAACTTGAAAGGCATTTTTTATTAAATGGTTATGTTTTTAATCTACTGAAACATTTCACATTACATTTTATTTTGTGTTAAAATTAATTTCAAAATGCTTTCAGATTTGTTGTTCATTATCTAATAGAAAATATTTAATTTCTGTATCTTAAAAAAGGTAATATTTTTCTAAACATTTACTAAATGAATATCATTGTCATTTATATCTAAGTAACAAAAGTACTAATAAAAAAAATAAACACTATTTTGGGCTTAGAAAAACTATTTTAACGAAGTCTTGCTCAAAATATCTGTATGTCAATGTTTTCCTTTCAAATACTTGTTTTATCATTTCCATTTATTAGTGATTACAATTCTTTCTCTTTTATTTCCTTTTTGTAAATGAAATGTGTATATCCAATTGAATAAGTAGGGAATTAGTAAATTTACTTCTCAGGCATTTTTGTTGTATTTCTTGCCGAGAAAAAGCCTTATGTGACATTTCTTTTCAGGCATGAAGAAGTTTGAATACAAAGGCACACAATGGCATGAAGAGTGTTTTATTTGTAATGTTTGCAAGGAACCTATCAAGAACAAAAGCTTCATTCCTCGAGGTGATGAAGTTGTCTGCATCCCTTGTTTCGAAAATAAGTATGCACAGAGATGTGCAAAATGCAATGGAGTAAGTATATTGAAAAGTGTGCATGTACTGAGAGAGAGAGAGAAACAAAAAATGTTATGAATTACGTTTTTCTTACAATCAATGTTTGTATAGGGAAACACAAAATCTTCTGTTTCTGCTTATTTTATTTTCATATACATTCACATTCCTGAAAATATTATCTGACTGATAATTTGGATTATAGTCTTCATTTTGGTTGCTATAGTTTTGTTTCAACCAGCCTTTTTCAAGTGTCTGTTGTATTTGGTAACCTGAAAATTTGGCATCAAACCTTTTATTCATTAGATGGAGGTAAATTATTCATATTCTGATTTGTATGCTAGAAAATATCTTTTATCAAAAATTCCACCAGCTGATTTTCTGACATGACAATAACTGTATCTAGATAATCTGGTGGCCCTGAGCCTGGGTCAGACAGTGAATGTCTTCTGTAAAAAAAGTAAAAGCATCATTACAGTGGACAACTCAACTGACATGAGATAACATCAGATACAAGCAGCAGAATATAACAACAATCTACTTCCATGAATTGGATAAAAGGTCCGGCTCAATATTCTCCAATTTATTTAACACTTACAGACAGACACAGACAGACACTTTAACTATAACAATCAAAATTAAGGCACAAATCCAAATAATAATCCTCATCTCAGAAATTCAAACAAATTCAAAAATTAGTAATAAAGCATTTTATACCATTTATATTATTTTATACATCAATGTGACAATATTTATTGCTTTTTATCTACTCTAATACAAAATAAGTTTTTAACAGCAAAGGTTAAATTAGTTGTAAAAAAGATTTCAATTGCTTTGTTAGGGTGATTTATTATCATGGAAAAATAATGCCACTGGTTTTGATTTTATAAATATCACAACACTCAATCAGCAACAATTTTTAAAAACTAAAATGTATTTTCTGATTCTTCAAATTTAAATATACATTTTATTCCTAACTTGGAAATAATCGTTTCATATTTATCAGAGAATTGGAAAGAATTTCAAACCCATCTAAAATGTATAGAAAGCAACAAACAAAATGAGCTAAATAGTCCAAACAACTTAAGTTATGAAAGACTTAAGGCAAAGTGACACATTCTACACAAAACCATCCATTATTTTTGTCTAACCCCTGCACAGCTGTTTGAGGTTTCCTATAGCCCCACTGAACTTAAATAAAGTCAATTCAGGTTTCCTATGGTAAAAATTTTCTTTCCCAAGTGAAAATCATCACAAAAATGGCAAGTCATTTTGTCACAGCTTATTTTCTCTCAAAAAATGGATTTTCATACTTTTATAGGGGTAAAATATTAAAAAAAAATGACTGTTTTATCATCATCTAAACAAATATCAAGGAAACTTTTGATCTGAACCCCATGCAACTAGCAAACGGCCACGGAAATCTTTAGTAAAAGGCAAAAGATTTATCTGCAATTCCTAACCACCAGAAACCAAAAGTTTTTTTTTCCCAAAAAATAGCAGCGACAAGGAAAATTAAACCTAACTGACTTTGACATCTAAGTCAAAGGTCAGCCAGCCAGCAATAAACAGTAAACCTTAGAACAAGTTGTGATAAAACCCACCACTCCCAGATAAAAGCAAAGAGTGAAAAAAAAAAGGGTTCAACATTACTAGGGCTTGATATAACCTATGTTTGAACAATGGCTTGATGAGTTTTGTTTTGTTTTTAACACCCCGTGACCCAGGTGATTGACAACAACACTTAGCAGACAACATTGTTTTTTTTCGCCGCATACCTTTCGTATTTCCCATCACCGGTCCATTTATTCAATGATGTTCATGCCAAATGAAAGAGAAAGGAATGAATTTTGAATGATGTTATTTTGAAGCAAAAATAAATATTTTTTCAAAAAAAAAAAAGGAGATTTTTCTCAGAAAATTGGGCATAATTTCTTAATGCTAACCGCTGAGTGACATTTTCCACAGCCAAATCGAAGATTAATTACCAGTGAATAATTCCATGTGCAAACAATAGCCGTCTGGATCCTATAACATCGCCCTAAAAGGTCCAGAAGTTTACTAATTGATCGAAAACCTGTTGCACATAATTGTATTTTTCACGGTCAGTTTCCATTATTTCATCTTGATATTATCATTTTTGGACAGCCAAGTCATCAAGGATTCAGGAAAACAGTTTGGCATAGGTTTTCTTTAAGAACTTTACATTCTATGAGGTGTTTAAAATGTTACTGACGAATGAGATTTTTTGCTGAATATTTCGTTTACGCGCCATGTTGGATTTTCCTATATGACAAAAACAAGGCTTTTAAACAGCCATGCCTGTATATACATGTGAATATATATATATATATACAGAGGTTAGCCAAAATAATGTAAACAGCTTGCAAATATAGCAATTTTTACAATTCTGGCATTTCTCAGTATTTGTAAACATCAAACTGGCATAAAAGGTAACTGCTCAGTACTTTAATCTTTTACCTTCCTTTTCTACTTAATTACATCATTATTTATCTTCAAAATTATTGAATGTGTCATGAGCTGTAGTGTCCACAGTTATGACAGCTTACACAAAACCAAGCAAAACATTATCAGCAAAGATTAATAGTGGACAGAAACCAAAACTGACCAAAAGAGACCAACAAGCTTTAAAATGAATTGTGGGGAAAAAAAAAAAGAAAAGTGAAATCATGGTTTGATGAGCATCATAACATAATTAAACATCCTCCATGGTCAGTACAATCACTGATCTCACCATTATGGGGAGTTCTAGAGCAGAGAGCGAAGAACAGATTTCCTCCCCCATTGTTGCTGAAGCAACTTTCTGGGATTTTGATTGAAGAATGGGATAAAATTCACTGGAAACAATTCAAAACTTATTTGATTCCATTCCACATAGAATCAAAGCAGTTTTAGAAGCTAATAGAGGTCCAACACCTTATTAGTCCATAAATAAAAGTTCACATTATTTTGTCTAACCCCTGCCTCTGTGTGTGTGTGTGTGTGTATGTATATATATATATATATATATATATATATATATATATATATATATATATATATATATATATATATATATTGTGCTTTTTATGAGTCATTGGAGTTTACTGCAAATGAAAATAGCAACTAGCAGTTTCAAAAACTGTATATTTTATTTATGTAGACATTATAATACAATAACTGTTTCTTATTATGACCAATGACCTTAACATTATAATGGGCATATGTTCAGTTTTGGGCTGCTATCTTTAACAATGTTAATTTTCTTTTAAATAAAAATACTAGTAAATTAATGATATTTGGTTTCCAAAACATTTTCTCCAAAATCATATAATGAAATTCCAAATATATGATTCCTGACTTTCTCTAATTAAATAAATTTGGTAAACATTTTTCTAAAAATGTTCTAATTTGTAACCTTTTAATCATTGCTTGCAGGTCCTAACCAAAGGTGGTGTTGCATACAAGGATATCCCTTGGCATCGTGAATGTTTCACTTGTAGTAAGTGTGGAAAAAACCTTGCTGGAGAGAAGTTTACTTCTCGTGAAGATAAGCCTTACTGTGCTGATTGCTATGGTGATTTGTTTGCCAAGAAGTGCTGCATCTGCACAAAACCTATCATGGGTAAGTACAGACTATAATTTAGTACACTGATTAGTCATTAAATTACCAAATATACTTGTGTAATGCGCAATCTCATGTATTATGCAACCACCAAATTTTCACTTATAAAAAATGATTTTATCTTGTGTATCATGCATGTTCCTTTTTTAAGAGACCAAATTACAATAGACTAACCTCTTTTCCTCTATCTCTTTATTCCATCTTCTAATTAAAAAAGTTAATAAAAGTAAAGGTGAATGACAAAAGTATCATTAGTAACATGTGCACACGGTTGTATGTGTAACAACTGTGTACACATACAACTGAATGAGAAACAACTGAACAAAAATAAATAATGGAAAAAATGCATATTCGCTATATTTGTATTTTATAATACGATACTAATATGTGAATATTACATGCATTATTATTGGATACAGTTAAGTAAAACATCAGTTTTATCAAAATCATGTTTATTTTAAATACAGCTGCACTTTTTGACTACAGTAAATGGATATATAGTTTGGTCAGTGGCATAGCCAAGGCCAGCAGCACATATGCTAATTTTATATTTCATGTACGATGTAACCCCCCTTAGAATTAGCTTCAAAATTAGGTCTTCAAAAGTTGCATGATATGCAAGTATATACGGTAATAACAAATGTTTATATATATAAGTGAACATAAAGTCAACACTTAGGGCGACAGTCTGTTTCATGCTATATGCAATATGGCCTGCGATTGCATTGCATATAGCATGAAACAGACTGTCGCCTCTAAGTGTTGACTTCTATGTTCACTTTTATATATTTACACACTCTATCTCTGATATTGAGCACTTTATTCCATAAATATAGCACACCTTAAGACTATATTTCTTTATATATATATATATATATATATATATATATATATAAATAAATAAATGAGATGTCACAATCATCTTTTTTTGTTGATTTTAATGTTTGTATTTTTATATTTTATTAGAAAATGAAGAAACAAGTTAGAATATACTTCCACAAAGCTGATAATTTATGACTTATAAAGAAGCTTTCTCCATCACTAACATATTCTGCTACCTTATCATTAAATCCTCAAACACTACAACCATTTAGTCAACTCTCTGAACTTATTATAATCAGCCTAATAGAAGTATATAAATTACTTAGGATTACAGCTCAACTGTTTAATCAGTGTAGAGCAGATTATGGTATTGCTAATCCTCTCTCATTTCAACTTGGACATGTGGGTAATTTAATGGATAACAGCTCGAAATAGGAAATCATAGAGCCAAGTTCGAATTCTAATGCAGTTCATTACATTCACTTACACATAAAAGTATGAATCCACCCCCCCGTTATGGGTTAAATAGTAGGGCTTGTATCTGAGGAAAAGCATTGTTAATGCAATATCCACTTCCAAGAAAAGAGCCATTCTTACAATGCAATGTTTCAGCTTTAAATAACCCACAAAAAAAAAAAACAATCTATCATTTCGTTAATAAAAGTAACAGTAATTTTAATAAAAAATTTATCATCATCATATTATTGTTATTTATAGCAAATGAAACTTCAATTTTCCTAATTTATTTAGATTGCAAAAACACTAACTCTATGTGAATATAATTTTTTGACAATTTAGTATTGGAATTAATGCATTTTGTAATAAATCAAAATTGCAACCATCCTAGTACCATTAACTCAATTAGGACAAAGCATACAATGTGCAATATTCTTTAGCATTCAAAAATTGCATTAAATCAAAATGAGTAAATTTCATTTTCCCAAAAATACACCATGTCAACATATTCAGTTTCAAATCCTCCCTTAAAACACATTAGCTTTTCTTTTTTTTTTCCCCACAGGTTTTGGTGGTACCAAGTTCATCTCTTTTGAAGAACGTCACTGGCACAGTGACTGCTTCAACTGTTATAAGTGCAAGACAAGCATGGTTGGCAAGGGATTTCTTATGAATGAAGGTGATATTTTGTGTCCTAATTGTGGACGTAACTAAGATGATCTTTGGGTTTTTTGGGGGTTTTTTTTTTTTTAACTCAACCTGATATGATCATCTTAATTAGAACGTTTTTTTCTCTCACTTCAAAATATACAAGGCTCAGTTTTCCTTTTAATTTTTAACATTTAGATTTCAGTGTTACTGAAAAATACCTAGATGCTACTTTTCTCACCTTAACCACTCCCACTACCCTCTTCTTTATAATCTAATCTAGATCATGACAAAATGCTAAAGTTTGTCATTTTGCATTGACTTTGCAGTTTTTTATATTTTTTTTTATGTTTACACTAAGCCATCTGAAATTGATAAATCAGCATCCCTAACTCTCCTGATGAAGTGTTTTGATTGTGATTGTGTTACAACCCAAACTGGTGATAACAGAAATCAAAACAAAAGATTTTGCTTAAAAAAATTTTTCTACTTGTTATCCTATTTTATTACAAAAGTCATTTTTGCTTTATTAAAAAAAACTGTTTGTTATATTTTAATAATGATGATAATAATTCTAATATAAAGAGGAGGTAAAATTCAACAAGCTAAATAAAGGAAAAGATTAATCAGTTGTCTCTTGACAATGAAGGCATCTATCAACTCCCAATTGTATGAAATTTCAGGCACAAATCTACTGATACTTTCAAAATCTTAAATTAAACACAAATTTCAGAAGTGCACTTTTCCCCTTCCAATTTTTCCATTAAAGTATTGCGCAACATTTTTTTGTTATCTATTAAAGAAAAAGTCCAAATAATGAACTGCTGCTTCCACTATTGTAAATAATAAGCTCAATTTTATTCTGTTGCTATTTCTTCATTTCGACCTTAAATACTTTTGAAGTGGAAGAAAACATTTCTAAATATTTTGCAAGAATTACTATTCCTTTTTATATAAGCTTTTTGGATATTTATTCCACATTTCTTTTTAAGAAATATTGGTGCTGCTTCTGTGCAAAACTGAACAAGAAAAATGCTACACAGACCTGCAATGCATTCAGTTTAAGGTCAATAAATGTGCCTTCTTTTTCTAAGCTTTTATCAATATAAACAAAAGCAACAATAATGGCAAATGGATGAGTAAATTGTCATATTAAACCTTTTTCTTTACTCTAAGACAAAATTATTAAATATTTAGGAAAAGGTAAATAAAAAAAAAAAATCAGCCTTTACAATGTTATGCTGATTAGTTTGTTTTCAAATCTAAAAAATTTGTGCTTGTAGTGTTTGTGCTTCAATTGTCTTTTTCTTTTGCTATGACTGCCAGTGTGACCACCAAAAGTTGGTGCTGTTTTTGTGTCCAAACAGTTGTTATTGGGAATGTGATACCTGTTGCTGCTAACATTGTTGTAAATACCATGCGGGCCACTTGCACTTACAACTTGGTTAGCAGCAGCAATCATCATTACTTTGGTAGCTGCTGCTACGATTGCTACAAATGAGTTAATGACCACTTACACTATCCAAGGAATGTTTTTCTTTTATAACTACTAATAGCATACTATTAATTAGTGCTGCTGCTATAACTTTTTTGTGGCCTTGGAAGTAGTAATTGTTGATGATATAGGATTGGCAGTGAAAAGAAAAAAATATTGAAACCTACATGCAGTTTTGTGTATAGACTTTGTTTTATTTAAATTAAATAAATATGTCTAGCATTAATTTGCATTTTGAGTTGTTTGTTATCAATGTTTTGCTCAAAATCTTTTTTTTTCATTGTTGACTAAAGATCAACTGACTTATTTGTTAATTACTATTCATGTTGAAGTTTATATAGATAATTAGAAACTGAAAGATCACTAATCAACATGCGACTTTTTATGTGAAATATTAAACCAGTCTCATTTCTGCAACAGTACTGATGACAAAAATAGAGATAATAAAATGTTGAATGTATTTTCTTGAAAAATCATATTTCTTTTTTTTTGACAAATGAGTTGTATTATTAAGCAAAGAATGGAGTGGTCCCATAATTTATTCTTCCTGCAGCAACATTTCTTAGGGGTTTTTTTCTGTTTTTAGTGAGAATATTTTATCTCAAAGTAAGATTTCTTTCATCACTTGAAAAATATAACCACTTTTGAACATTTGTATTCACTTTTATTTTAGTTTGAAGGTTATTTCTTCTTGAAATAACTAGGAACAGCATCATACAGCCAATCTGGATCTACAACACACACATCCCTACAAAATAAAATTCACACCTTAGAAAATTATTCAAATGACAAGAAAGTGAAGGAAACAGTGATGTTGAGTAATATTTTTTTCTATTTTGTTTTAAAAAAGTTTTTTTTTAAAACAAATTAGAGTAGAATTGCTAAATGCATACATTAAATAATTGAACATTTTTTTATCAGCTGTTTTTTTTAACTTTCTAATTCAAATATAATCTTCATAAAAGAAACATTTAATTCAGCTACTGTAATTCTACAGATGTCAGATAATTGAGAATACACTTTAATAAAAATAAAGAAATCAGTGTATTTTTTTATTTTCTATAAAACTGCCTCAACTGTGTGCCCAGAATAGGCAGTTTTCAGACATATTAAATAATGATGGCACTATTCCATATGTCCTTGGTTAATCTCCACTGGGACACTGCTTCAATCCCATATTTGCCCAGTGTCTCCAGCACCTATTGTCAGTTGTGGTATTCACCCTGATGTACTATGTGATATGTTAAAAATGTGTTCACAAACCCCTGGCACATCCTATATTTAAATTCTTTACATAGTTTTTTTCAGAAAGAACTACCAAAACCAGAAAATAAACAAAAGGCATAAGAAAAGAAAAAAAAAATTGTTTTTTTTTATAAATATCAAGTTGGAAGGAAAGGTATTGTGGTTTGTAGAACATTAAATTTAGAAACTACAAGAAATTTCCTTCCAACCAAATATTCCTGCATTTAAGCAACAAATAATGTCAATCTGCATTACTTTTTAAAAAAGAAAAATTATATATTTAGCTACGATTCCTCCTTACAAATCAAATGACCTAAATTTCTAAGAGACAGAGCAAAAGCAAAAAAAAGCACAAAACAATTTCATATTGCAAGTTATGAACAGCTCAAAATGTTTCCCAACTGAAACAAGAAAATGTATTGTATACTAAAAACACAAATTGAGATTCCTGTGTAGTTTTTATGTTGCTTTTTGACATCTTGGCTCTTAGCCAAAAACAAAACAAAGCTGAGATGCAACAAAAATACTTTGTGCTTCAAGTACATGAAGGCCTTTCAGCAATTTTTTAAACCAACAAAATAAGGATACAGGTAAGCAGCCAAGGTTAGCAACCAAAATATCACTTGTTGGATTCTATTACAAGACACACTTTTACCCACAATCAGTTAACCAAGGAGGTAGTTCATCATGAGGTCAAAAACAATTTTACAAATTAACCAGTTATTCAGAGAAACCTACTATTGCTTGCACTGCAACACATTAATTTTATATAAATAGATAGGCAGATAAATAAACAGACAACACCAGCTCGATTTTCAAGTTAGGCTATCAGTTAATACAAATCCCACAGTTTAACAACAAGCCTATTTCCAGTTGAAAATGATGTATCAAAGAAAGAATTTTTAAAAAATTTCAATTAAATATCATTCCAACACTAAAGATTCTCACAAGATGTTCAATTCCTACACACTTTACATGCTATAAATTTCCATAACTGAAAAATAAAGCTTCACATATGATGCATTGATTAGTTCATAATAATAATAATAGTAATAAATATCTATTAAGTAGAAATCAACTGGATGAAGCCCGTAGCCAGTTTATATTGATCAGCTCTCCTTAAACAGATTTGATTTGATTCCTACTTAAATTGAAAGTTAATCCATACTATGATTGGTAATTGAATGACAAAATAGAAAAAACAAAAAATCCTATGTGATATTTTTCATTTTACAAAAGGATTTCTTCAGACTAAATAAAGTTTTTATTGATGGGATCACATACATGTAGGAAGAAGGAACAAATACAAGCAAATATCAGTTATAAATTAGACATTGAGAGAAACACTAAAAATGAATAAACACTTAAACCTAATTTTAAATTTCTAATTACCAATGTGTTTAGATGTACAGCCTCTTATTGCTTTGGTTTTCAAATATCCCTCATTGTAATAGCAATAGTTTTGTTAAAAGAAGTGAATTTCTATATGTTTTCACTTGTATAAATTATTTTGTTTTAATCAAAAGTGAATTAAGTTGAAACAAAACTCCTGTTATTACAATTTTTGAAACTTAAAAACAGCAACAATCAAATGATGAGTAATCATATTTGTCTTTTTCTCTCTTTTTTTTTTTTTTTTTTTACTTTTGAGGATGAGGTCATTATTTGTAAAAGAAAAAAGCCAAATTTAACAATGACCAAAACAAGTCTACATACATTGTACTTCTATTCAGTTTTTGTGGGTTAGCAAACTGAAATAATAAAAGTGAAAATCAAATCATCAGAAAATGAACAAACTTCTTACAAGTTTTTCTGATTCAATTTTGAAACTAAAAACCTGACAAACACTAAGATATTTTAAATACCAAAGTCAGATTTTTTTAAGAAAAAAAAATCAATGTGATTCCAAGATCTTGACAAATGCATGTCCATGTGTCATTTAAAACACACCAACAGATTCACTCCACTTTATATAACTTTCCACAGGATAAATTTGTTCTGAAGTTTTTTTGTTTTTTTTATAAGAACAAAAAACATGGATTTTACAAAGAATGGACAGAGGTTTTCATCTTTGTTGCTATCCAATTCTAATTTAGTTCATCACTTTTACTTACCTAGTCTTGCAATATTATTCCATTCACCACAACCTGTCACACATTGTTCTGCTATGAAAAGTGTATTTAAGAATTTTCTTCATTATACTGAAGAAGGTTCTAGTTTGCAAAAGTCTCACAACAAATTTCAAAATATCACTCAAGATTAGCCACTCTACACCTGATATGTTTTCTTTTTGCTGAATCCCATATAATGCAATCCAGAGGGAAAACAAAACTGAGAGCATATTTCAAATCACCAACTAGATGGGTAGTGCTTTATCAAAGTTGAGATAATTCAACTGTGGTACTCAAGGCCACAGAGAGTGACATTCTTCCTTTATCAAACAGCCATTTAATCAACATCTTAAAATTCCTTTGTTGACAACGAGAGTAAAGAGTAGAGGACCACTTGTTTTAATTGGCTTCTCCCTCAGCCAAGTCTGGAAAGTTCCCTTTTCAGAAGTTATGGTGATAATCTTCTATCGATATCTACAAAATGTAGTGGTAGATTATGCTGTTGGATCTCCAGACTCTATATTACTAGACCCACCCTTCGCAGGATGGAGGCAACAGAACATGTGATGCACCTAAGAGTCCTATAATTCCAGAGGAGTTTAAACACAGTTAATTACACTAGATAGGGAGATGGAAAAGTAAGTACTGAGAGTTAGTAATGGATAAAAGTATAAACCACATAATTTAAAGAAAGATCATTGAAGATTACAACGTAGCAGCAGACTTAATATCCTCATGTACTTCTGATCAAATCTTTTCCAGATACCAAATATATTGCATGGTCTGTCACTCTGAATGAAGCTTATCTCTACAAGCCTAACTTGTGGTTAATCCTTACTATTTCATCCATTCCAATTTCCTTTATTGTTACAAACTGATATCAGCATAGGTAGTAAGCATGATCAAATTGGAAGCACAAAGCTGGGTGATAATGCTTAGGATTGGGTTTGCTCTAACTAGATAGGAAAGTTTCTAACACAGTGATATAGAAACAGGAGAAAAAAAAACAACCACCAAGTCAATGTTACAACATTCACTTCCACCATAGTTACAAGGGACACACATAGAAAACAAATCCAAGTACAATATAGAAAGTGATGGGCCATTTTGAACTGATCTAAATTGATTAACACAGATTTTACATTCCCAATTTACTCTCCCAATTATAATGCAAGCTGTTTTGAACAGTCCAATCCTTTATAGAACAAGTCTGCTCAGATACTATCAGAGTGCAGTAGTTTGAAGTTGTTTTAATAGCCATAGTTGGATATTTGGTGTTATAACAAGTATTCTGACCAAGAGTTTACCAGCTTAGTCACTGCCATTGCTATGCCTTTTTGCCACCAATGAACACAAGCATGCATGTCCCACTCTTATGTTGGCTTCTCATATACAAATTACTGTCATCCCTGCTGAAACATTACTCACTGCCTAACTGTGCTCACCATTTGGTCTGTATTCAGTATGTTTTTATGTTGAATAGGGCCAATTTTTTTCAACATGTAGCAATTCAATGAGACACCTGTTTTATGCAGATTTTCATATCAGATAATATTTTGCCAAACTGCCATTCAACTATTGACAGCAACAAGGAAAAAGAAAAAAGATTATTTGCAGAAAAGTTCAGCCTCTACTGCTATACCATAAACATCCACCTCTGATGTTTTCCTTCTAAGAATTCTCATCTACTTATACCGGATTTTGGAAGAGACCATTCATAGAAAAGTGAACATGGGACTTTCATTTGAGAATGTTCTAGGTTTTATTCATTTGCTTCCTAACAAGAGCAAATACAACACAAGGCTTGTTTAATGTAGAATCGCATATGCAAAAGTTTGGATAAAGACAAAAATTACCCAGTTCACTAGTTTTTGTCACAAGCATCAGAACCCAGCCTGTTAGTGCAATGGAGACATACTTTTTATAAAATGGATCTCTAGAAACCAAGCTCACTTCATTTTTTACATCTGATTCTTGTTATAAGGCTGTGAAAATATATGTATATATATTTATTTATGAAATCACATTAGACCTTAAAGAAGCCTTTTTGTCAGTCATCAAACTTAATTTTTATAATTTATTTAACAAAGCCAAAAACTGCAATGAATAATACCTTAGAATTATTCTATATAACAGACTAGCAGTAGAGCCCGGCGTTGCCCGGGGATGTAACAGTAAGAGATAGATCAAGTATCGACCATCATAAAGACTGAAAAATAAAATTGACAAAGATTATTGTTTAAGGTTGACGGACACGCATGTCTTAATTAGTTTTTTTTTTTTTTTTTTTTTTTTTTTTTGGTCAAACCCAAACTCAAACAAAAACATTGTTTTCAATCGTTATGAGTCTCTACGATTGAATAGAATTTTATTATAAACAATTGTCTTGTAAATGGAATTTTTAAAGCATTCTGAATGTAAATAAAGAAAAAAAGTGCAAAACAATAAAAATACTACCTGCCAAAAAAGTGGATGTTTGTTTTATCGGCTGAAAAATGTAAGAAATCCGATCCCATATATAAAGGAACACACACACACACACACACACACACACAAACAACCTGGGTTTTTTTAACCTAAGTCACTCCACGGAATCGCTAAAACATAGAGCATAGTCTGATGAAAAAGACGCCAAAGTTTATGAAAACAAAATTTTATCGTCAAAATGCTTATGTTTTTATGAAGAGGATAGACTAAATTTTTTTTTTAATTATTTTTAAAAAATTTTCCATCTTTTTAGAATATTCTAAATTTTGATTTAAAAAACCTTGTTTCTCTTTGTCGCAACAAGGGGTAGTAAATAACATAGATAATTTTAGCGCGTTTTTTTTATTTACACACATTAATTTGGAAAATCTTGCAAAATAAAAATAATTGTCAGATGTTAATGAAACTTTCAGAAACTATTCACAGATGATCGAAATTATTATAAATATGTTTTTTTTTTTTATTAAAGTCATGGCAGAAATATTTTTTTTTATTTTATTAACACCCCATAACTAATTTTATGAAAAACTCTAGAAATTCGAGACCATCGGTTTTAGTGATTACAATAGTTAAAAGCACAAGGCTTTGAAGAATGCAAATCATGTTTTTTTTTTTTTTTTTTTTTTTTTTGGCCAACGTACCTGAAAATCAGCTGTGAATTGTAACATACAAAACTCAATAAAACAAATATATTATTTAGTTTCAAATGCTTTTATTTGTTTTTATTTGTTTTTATGAATATGGACAATATTTTCTGAAAGCAAAAATTTTTTCAATGAAAATTGAATTTTTTAATACAATTATTTCTTATTTCTTTAATTTTAAAAGATTTTTAAAAAATGTTTAAATTGAATTTTAAAAATATTTTAACATTAGTTAAATGCAACATCAACCTTTCAAAATGTCCGTGTGAGATTGTCATTGTCTAGCGCTTTGAAAATTGTATAATTTGGACCAATCAGATTAGCCATGGTAATTAATTAAAAATGTAATTTTTGTGTTTATAGTCGGACAGTAATTATCAAGTACGGAAGACCAACCAGAATACAATTTAGTTGCATTATTTGAGTTCAGCATTGTTCTCCACTGTTAAGCCCTTTTACTTTTTTGCAAAAACATGGGAGAAGTTAATTTGAGTTTTCAATTTCAACTGAGAAGGGTACCTACAAGTAACAGTATCATCTTATGAAATTTAACTACTGCTAAACTTTAATTTATATGATCTTATTTTTATATTAATCTCAGTTATGACATTTTTCCATAAATGAAATATCAAAATTAATAAAATGAATGGAAATACAAATAACACAGTAAAATGTAATAAATGTACATAAAATTATAGTATTTTATGTACACTTCTGATAAAATTTCATAAGAAAGGTACCTAAATTAATTAGATACCTTTTTTCTTATGAAATTTAATCTCACTATTAACAGTCTTATTTTTAATTTCTTTATATTTTCCATAAGCATCGTAAATGTAAAAATGAAAGCTAAGTACAAAAAAAAAAAAAAAAAAAAAAAAAAAAAAATTAGAGCGCTGAAAGTTTTCCTTAAAAGTAACGAGGTAAATAATTTGTTCACTTAAATAATTTCACTTCCTTCCATCCGTAGAAAGAATTATCCTCCCGTAAGTTATCTAAACGTCATGAATGTGCCTTTCGTCAATCATCAAGTGACGCAAAAGGTTATGACCTGCTTTGTTTTATTTTCAAATTACATTTTCTCGGCGCAGAAGCTAAGTTAAGCTTGGTTCAAAATATTTTAGATAAACAGTATAATATCTGTTTTTATTAGAATCAGTTTTGAAAAAATCATAATTGATTTTTAAAAGAATATCAAAGTAAGATTTTAATCTTTTTTATCAAATCGAAAAAAATGATTGAAAATGATTATGTCCTTTTTTTTGACCACAAAAAAAAAAAATTTAACGAAAATTTCAGACGTGCTAGGAACGATAAAAAAATGTAAAAAAAATACCGCAAAAATACTTTGATCTTTCCACTTTAATAATAATATGAACATTAGACGATAAAATTTTGTTTTCGTCAAGTTCGGCGTCTTTTTAATCATGCTATGCTCTTTTGTTTACATTTTCATGGGTGAGTTCTCCCCCTTTCATTCTCACGATGTGTCTTCTTAATCGTGTTTTCAAATTGATTTTCTTAAAAAATAACTGTGTTTTTCCCATTTTCGGCACCATTAGAACCACCAAAAGGTAATTTTATGTAGTCCTGTGAAATTTTGTTGAAATCGGCTAAAAAATGTAGGAAATTCGATCCAACATATAAACGTTACAGACACACACACACACACACACACAACCTGTGTTTTATAATAAGTAAGATTAATAGAAATTACAGCATTGACCAGGGAACTATTACATGTATGATTCAATTCTTGATTTTATGCTTCATTTACACCAAGAATGTAAATAGTTTAATGGTTAGACACTAAAATACAAAAAGAAAAATATTTCAAGTTTTGACTTATTTTGTACTTAGATAAGCATGAACCCAAACTTCTCTTCAAACAATTTCACATAGATTGGTCATTAGGAGAAAATAAGTGACTTTGATTTTGTCTCCTGCAAGTATATAAGCCAAGTTAAACAATCTCAGTTTCTTATGCATATCACATACTGAATAACTGATTAAGGAAGACAAGTGTCCAAGAATTTAAATAACCAATCTCGAAAGTAGATTAAATACATTGGATCATTAACAGAAATGTGGGACGTACCTCATGTAACACTTTGTCGTTTGCACCAACTCATTGTAAATAACATATGCAGGTTTACAGTTGAATAATGAAGATGACGGATGGATTGAACAAATTTTTCGGGTTGATAACTGAAAAATATAAAATAGCCCAAGAATTTTTATTTATTTTAGTGGAAAGACATTGTCACACATTTCTAGTTTGACACAAGTTTGAATATAGAAACCAATAATGATATTGCATAATGTAATGCCTACCTACAAGGTAGCTAGGCATGGGGAAAGTCAACACTAGCAAGATAGCCTTATACAAAACTGAACAAAGAAAATCCTAGAATCCATATACTTACATAAAATGCTAACCTACAATACACTTAGGAGGTCAACCAGAAAGTTTGTTCAGATGACCTAAATCAGCTAAGAGAATACTGCTGTATGTTTACATAAGTATAAGAATTAAATTTAAGTTTAAATAACCTGGCAACTTTCATGAATATTTTATTCTCTAAAGTTATAAAACACTTCCTCAAAAATCATTCATGGTAATCAAGTGGTACTAATAGCTGCTATTATCATAGGCTCTGAATCATGAACATTAAAAGTCATCTATAATAGGTCCATCTGAAAATTCAAGTTATTGAAGATTGACAGAATCACTGAGAAGGTAATATTTTAAATCATGAAACTAGGAAAACAATTTCACTTGTAATTTATTAAATTAAAAACTAAGTGATATTCATGTAAGATAAATATCATTTCATTTGGTAAAAAAAGTTTCAGATGTTGAAAAAACATTTAAACTGCAAACTGGAAAACACAAATCCTGATTAATAAGTTTTCCAGTTATCTAAATTCATTTCAGATTGACTTTCCATTTATTTCCATTAAATAAAATTATCATATTTTACTTTTTTCATAAAAAGCATTTGAATTCTAAAATCTTACAGTAATATAATTTCCATCTTTGTTAAGCTCAGCAGCATTCATGAAGAAACCAGCCACCAAACATTTTCTGGAATTAAAAAAAGAATCAGTTCAGGAAAATATTGCACACAATTTGACCGAAATATAGTATCATTAAGATTATCAAATCTGAAGATAATTTTGAAGGTGTCTTGAAATTATTGTCAGCTGAGAATTTAGCAACTTGAACTAATAAAGTTAAACTTGAAGGGGGGGGGATGTCAATTTATGGACAATAAAGGAATGGATTCATTTTCTGTCATTTTATTTAGAAGTCATTGTTTTGTTCATATTATCAGACAAGATTGATGTTTTTTTTTTTACTAATATTGAACTTGACTTCTGCAATGATTGAAAAAACACCCACACTTCTACAAAACTACATGATCAGATATTACACAGATGTCCTGCAAAAAACTTATTCTAGCAGCTGGGCAAACTCTGCCACATCCATCTTATTGGGTTCTTCTAATTTTACCACTCCTATAGAGAAATATAGAACTTTCTGAAACATTAGGGGCTTCCAAAATGAAAACAACATCAAAATAGTATGACAAACATTCATCAGTTCAAAATCGATGTCATTCTACAAGGTGCTGAAAAGTTCTCAGCCTTGGTCATTTACAAAAATCTGACCAAACATCAGAATTGTTTGGAAAATCCCTCTTATATTACTGAAACACTGGCAGAAGGCATTAACAATGACAATTATATAGAAAATTGTTTGGTTTCCTTTTTGAAATAATCAAATTTTCTTAAGTGCACAAAATGTTCAGGAACTTTATCAACTGCCATTGATGCCATTAGATTTTATCAGCAAACATTTCTATTCAAGGACATAAAAGCAGCCCTAATACACTATTCTATTTTATTTATTCTATAAAAGAATTTCACTTATCTAGTTAAGCAATTTTTTAAGGTTCAGAAAAGTTTTATTCTTGGTGAATTTTTAGAAGAAATGAATAAAGATTTAACTAAAGCAATTTTAAATTTACAGTCTAATAATTTGAAAAACTGAAGTTTATTTAGTATATAAAACTTTTTTTTTACCTGACAGCATTTGAATCCCGGGAAGAAGAGGTAAATTGCATTCCTTGATCCTGACAGATGCCTCTCAACTGTCGACGGACTTCCAAAGCCATATTGGCATTCTTTGTATTGACAAAATTTTCTCGACACCATTTCTGTGAAAAAAACAAAAACCAAACTAGTCTACTCAATTACTTTGCTTATTCATTAATTACAGTCATTTATTTACAGTCATAAATAAACAAATCCAACATGTTTCTATAAATTTAAAATGACATTATTTTTCTAAGCTTAACTGAATTAGTGAATAAAATCTTGCACATTAATATTGATTTGGGTTGCATCGAATTAAAGATCAACTTGAATAAGTCAAATATGCTTTTTATCTCATACAAATGAGCAATATTTTTTTGTAGATTTCCTCATTGTCAGGAGATGATCACAAGGAAAAAATGACAACATGGCTTTATTCAAGCAAACTGGACATAGATATCAAAAGAAAAATAGTTTAGTCTATGCTTCAAATATCTGCTTAGAACTTGCTAAGAAGAGTTTATGAGGAAGGAACAAGAAGTCTGTAGCTTGGTATGTAGTTATTAACTGAATTTCAACCTGTAATTTTCACTGTAAATGTGGTTAACATTCAACATTGAATTAAGAGCAGTGACAAGGAAAGAAGATTATGTTGGGAAAAATAAATCTTTGTCATAAAATAAATGTTTTTTTTCTATTAGACTTACTGATCCCAGTCTATAGAGGAAGATCATTCTTGACCAAAAACTAAGATTTTATTCTCAATAATCATCTGTAATTACTTTTTCCAATTTTTGGTTAAATCTTTGTTGATATTGTTTACCCACTGGAATATAAATCACACAACTGAGCATATTCAAAGTTCTCAAAGATGGCTACAATATTCTTTTAAATTTTAATATTTATCACAGCATTTGTATTTTCATTTACCTTGTTACCAGCTGAAGCCTTAAAAGCTCGAAGGATGTTGAGGTAAGTTATGAAGTCTCCTTCAGCAGATTCAAATTTTTTCCTTGCTGCCAGGGCTTCTTCACGCTGAAAGAGAACAAAAGAAAATTACCAATCAATTTTATTGTGCAAAAGATGTCTTATGGTTGTATTCTCTACGCAAGTCAAGGAATTAAATTCTAACCAATAAAAGCAAATTTTTCAATAAGAACTTAAATATTTTGCACTAATTCTTCTAGGTAAATTATATTTATCTCTTCTAGTTATTATTTAAAAAAAACCCACAGAAACTAGTCTCTAAAATACAAGCAAGATGAATTTATTCAAACTATCACTCATCTTACACTTGGCCGAAAATAATTAAATGTCAAACAATATTTACAATTTCTAATCTCAAAAATCAAACAAAAACTATCCAAGATTCTTTCACAACAGAAAAATCTTCATTTCTTTCTTATAAAAAGTTTGAGTTTTTTTTTATTTAAATTATGCTATTTTTGTTGCCAAAATAATCATGATTTTAATAATTATAATATAGTTTCAAATATTAAACAAATACATTATACTTTATTCATTTTTGTCTGATTTTTCCTTTGATCTTTGGTTTATGAAGAATTTGTGACAAAAATATTTTAATTAAGCAACAAGAAAAACATGAAAAAAAAATTTTCTGCAATTAACATGTCTCTGGAAAACTGTCATTTATGAATGAAGTTACTTTAGTTCAAAAATGTTGCATTACAACTATGGGAGAATTACTAAAATACTTTTCTTTGTAACATAAGAATTGATTTAGAATTATGGAACAAAATACTGCAATCTGAAACATTATTCTGTAGAATATTTAGTGAATATGAGTTACTAGAATATTTGTCCAAATTTTTTGAGTTGCAAAGAAAAACCCCTTGACAATTTTTCATTAGTTTCTGATAGTTTATCATTTTAAATCTATTTTGGATAAAACCATCATTATAAATATGAAACTCAACACTCTACAAAGTGTTATGTGTCTGTGTTGATCATTATGAAAGGTTGATTGAATGGTTATTTCACAGGCATATTAACTAACCACTTTGGGTCATTAATGCCAAAATGGTTGGTTAGTTGATTTTCTTCGGCAGCATGACAACTTCCACAGGACACTCAATAACAAAATCCAAATACTTTGTAAGCAACTTTACGGCTTAAACTACAAATGTTTTGGACGCAATTTATACTTTCAGGATAAATATATTTCTTTTTTTCTTTTTAGATATATGTTTTTCTTTAGATAATAAAATGTGTTTTCTTCTATAAATGCTGGAAGCAGTCTACTTCTTTCAGGTAGCCTATATAGTAAATTCTGCTTGTTTTTTAAAGACTAGTTTCTGTGTGTTTTTTTAAATAATAACTAGAAGAGATAAAGAAACAGTTACATTTTTGAAAAGCATGGTAAGGTTTTGTGAATCATAGTATTTTTGTTGCACATTTTCTTGTTCATGAATCCTTTGATCAAATTTTTCCGGGTTTTTAATTTTTGTATTGACCAATCTCCATTCAAGAATAAATCAACTTTTCAATGTTAGTCACTAGTTTTTCTTTTTTTACTTGATTTAACATGTCTGAATAATAACATTTGAAGCTTAAATCTTGTGTCAACCAAATGTTCTATCATTGAGCTATGAGAGTAATCAGACTTCTTTGTTTGCAGATAATCAAAGTTGCATGAAGAGATGAAAATGAAAAAGACAATATAAAGAAGACACAATAAAAGTCTATGAAATACTTACTGCTCTTTTGCTAAAGATACATAGATAAGGTTTAGATATTTACCTTTGTTTGTGGATTAAACACTAATGAATCAACAGAAAGAATTGAAACAATACTGAGGATTTCTTCTCTGAAAATAGAAAATCAATTTTATTTACTCAAAGTCAAATATCATTGTAATGACAAGTAAATATATAAAAGATATATAAAATGTTATTATTTTTATTTTGATAGGCTTATTTAGTTTCAATTTCAAACACTCTTCTAAAACATTTGATTCTTTTGTCAAATTTACTAAATTCTATGATTGTTTAGGAAGAGAAAATATTCAAGACTAATCAATGACTATATGCATCAAAGATGCTGCTTATTCAGGCCCTTGATTTTTTTCTACTTGTTTCTCAAAATTCTCCAAGGTAAGGCTGCAGAAACACTGTAAAGCTATGATACAAGGGGAAAAAAAAAAAAAATCAGACATAGTTAACCACATATGGAGGGAAAAGGGAGATCACCCCTCCCCGGTGGGATGAGTTTGAAATAATCGACAGGGAACATCAATAGAAAATATGAAAATTTAAGAAATCACTGCATATGCTAGGTCACAAAAATCTCCTAAGACGACCAAGCATAGAAATGAATATGGGAACCAGTAATATGGAGTGCTAGAGAAAAACTTTTGTGATGTCAACAAACACTCGTAATGCTTGTTGTAGTAGAGACTTTGTAATCGCAGATACAACTATAATAACACAGTTGAACAATGCCTGGTGTCAGATGCCTTTTGAATAGCACTCGCACTAATAGGACTTGTTTGATAATACTTGCTTGAAAAGTAACCACCGAATAGTGATCCGTATAGAGAAATAGTATAGTATAGAGAATAGAATAGAAATAGTGATTTCTTAGATGTCACGCTACTGCTTACTTATGCATTTCTTCCATGGTCATGTGACCCATTTAATTTTATAATGGTATCGTCAGTGTTTGTTCTCTGGCAATCTATGTTTAAACTCAAGTGTTGGCAGCGATATGGTAAAAATGGTTACTGAGACATTAGGTTTATAAGTCCCCCAAATTCATACACTGATGTTCTCTAAGACACATCGCCCAGTGGATAAAAGTGTTGAATCTAGGGACCTAGAGTTCAATACCTGGCTGAGGTTAACAAAAAACTTGGAGAATTGAGATAAAGGGAAATAACTGATACTGAGACATCTGGAAGAGTTATGGTATATGGAATTAGAACAATCTACCCCAGTGAACAAAATAAAGGGTTCAGTTCGAAATTCCAATCACATTGTGAATTTAGCAAGAAAGATGAAGACAACAATTCAAACAATGTAAATACATGCACATGTGCACGCACACACACACACACACACATATATATATATATAATTAGGCAGCATATCTTCATTCAATCATGTTTGGTTGAATAATCTAGACATATGTCTACTTATTTAATTTTAATCCTCTCAAGTGCTGTTACAAAACTGAGTAAGAAAGATGCCATAGTTTTGGTTATTTCTTTTATTTTTCCACATACTTTCTATCTCATCCAAGATCATTTTCAGGGGCGAATTGCTCAGACAAAAATTAATGTAATTAGTAGTTGTGAACTTTTTTGTAAATGCACATGAAACATGCTCCATTATAGTCAATTTATGTTAAGAATATGTAAGGGAGGTAACTTAGTTTAAATTTTTCATTATTAATGTTTAAAAAATACTTAACCTGCAATTTTTAAAAAGAAATTTTTTTTACAATTTGAGCATACTAAGAAATTGCTTTAATAGGCTGGTTGGTTGTTTTGTTTTATGGCATATCAACCTCAGTGGGTCATTTAATGCCAAGAAAATTTTGAAATGATTCATAGCAATAGATAGCGATACATATATATTTGAAATGATTCATAGCAATAGATAGCAATACATATATATTTGAACCATTTTTCAGTTACTCATATTTTTGAGTACAATCCAACTTGTTTTAGGAAATTTACAATCTTGGATGGTTTTATTTTCGTAAAAAGCTTTTTTTAAATTACTCACTTGGTAATATTTTGTTCGCACTAGATCAAAAACAAAGTCTAACAGTATATGTTTCACTGTAAATTTCTCATGGCATGTAGTGCATATTGGGGATTCTGTGCCCTCTAGTAAATAATGGTGGGTGATGTAGGTGTGGCCTATGTGAAGGCAGGTCAGCACAACCTGGTCTTTTTTATTCTTGTATTCTGAGTTCCATTCTCCAATAGTGGGTTTAATGTTTTGACGTTTGTTATTAATGAATGTATTCCAATGATGTTGCCATTTTTTAATGATAATTTTCTTTACAATCATCCTATAATCGGAATATAGAACCTTTGTGCTTGTTATTGCATCCTTCATGGCTTTTTTGCCTCCGAATCTGCCCTGTCATTTCCCGGTATCCCAAGATGGCTTGGGATCCAACAAAGATTATTTCTTTATTTTTAGACAAGTGGTAGATTCTGTTTAGTACTTGTGTGATTAAAGGGTCACTAACATTTTTATTTTTTAATGCAGTAAGTGCAGATAAAGAGTCTGCAAAAATTATGAATTTATTGTGAGGCGTTGTGGTTATTATGTCAAGTGCTAAATTAATAGCAATTATTTCAGCACTATATATTGAAGCTATGTTTGTTATTCTTTTCTGTTGCTTATTCCGTTTTAGTATGGCAGCACATCCTTCTCCATTTTCACTTTTTGCACCATCTGTATATATAAAGATGGTCTGAGTAGTTATTTTTAATATTCAGTATTTCGGACTGGTATACAATAGGGTTTGTTTTGAATTTTGGATATCTTGTAAGGTCTAAAATTATTTTAGGTTGGTTTATGATTCAAGTGGGTGTAGATGAAATAACTGATTTGTGAATTTGTGTTGTATTTATCAGGTTTTCTCCTATGATGTTTTTAATACGTAAACTGAAAGATTTGATGAATTTTTCTTTTTGCTGGAAAAGTTCTGTGTATTATGGTTGGAAAGTATTACTGAGAGCTAGGTTTAGAAGGCATGATGACAGTTTTAGGTTTTGGAGAGCAAACTTTTCATGTCTTAGTTTAAGAGATGGTTCATTTGCTTCCATGTATAAGCTTTCAACAGGAGAGGTGCTATATGCTCCAAGGGCTAGTCTAAGTCCTTGATGGTGTATAGTATCAAGTTCTTTCAAATATGTTTTTCTGGCTGCTCCATATATAAAGCAGGCGTAATCAAGTTTTGATCTGATTAGAGAGCGATATAATTTTAATAGTGTTTCTTTGCTTCCTCCCCAATAAGTGTGTGCTATGGTTCTAAGTAATTGTATAGCTTTATTACATTTGAATCTCAAGTATTTAATATGGGGAATAAAGAAGAGTTTGCAGTCAAAAATGACTACAACTGGAATTTCAGTGTGGTCAATTTTCAGTACTGGGTCAAGGTAGAGTTTATGTTGGTTGCAGAAGTGGACACATTTCATTTTTTCTGTTGAAAATTTTAGTCAATTCTCTTTGATTCATTTGTTGAACTTATCGTGGCATATCTGGAGTTGTCTTTCTAGATGGTTCATATTTCTTGCTCTTTAACATATCAGGAAGTCATCCACATACAAAACACAGTTTGTTTCGTTATTTATGTTTTTTACAATATCATTTTATTTTGATAGTAAACAGCGTAATGAACAATACACTGCCTTGATATACACACATTTCTTGTTATTTTTTTTCAGAGAAAATATCTTCTATTTTAACTCTGAATTTTCTATCTTGCAGGAAATTTTTGATAAATATTGGCACTTGACCTTCTAGCCCAAGTTTTTTAAGGTCTTTTACTATGCCATACTTTCGTGTTGTGTCATATGCCTTTTCAAGATCTAAGAAAACTGCCATTAGATGCTCTTTTTTAATAAACACCTCTCTGATAAATGTTTCTAAGTGGATCAGATGATCCATAGGATTTCTTTGACTTCTAAAACCAGATGGATTTTCATTTATTAATTTGTTACTTTCTAGATACCAGATCAATCTGGCATTTATCATTCTCTCTAGTGTTTTGCAGACAAAGCTGCTAAGGGTAATTGGGTCAGTAGTTTTTTGCATTTGTATTGTCTCTCATAGGTTTAGGTATTGGTATAACTGTAGTTTGTTTCCATATTTTAGGGATGTCACTGCTCTTCCATATACTATTGTAGATTTGTAGGAGGTAATTCCTAGATGGTTTGGGTAATTCTTTTAGGAATTGATAGTAAATTGTCTGGTCCAACTGCTGTATTGTGGGCCTTTTTGAGGGATTCCATCAGTTCTGTAGTAGAGAAAGGTTGGTTGTAGCTTTCAGTATTTTTGTTTTGGAATTTGATTTTTACTTTTTCTGCTTTTGTTTTGATGGTTTGAAAATTTTTGCTTTGTTTTTCTGTGGATGAATTTTGTGAGAAAGTTTCGGCAAGATGGGTTGCTATATCTTTCTCAGCGGTAATCTTTTGGTTATTGTGGGTACGATGCTTGGTAGGGGTATTGCTATTTTTGCCAGTTATTTTCCGAATCATCTGGCATACTTTCTTTGGTTTTGTGTTATTATTTATTTTGGCAACGTAATTTTTCTATGCATTTCTTTTGGATTCTTTGATGATTTTTCGGGCTTTGGTTCTGCTATTTTTATAGGTGTTTAAATTTTCTTGTGTTGGGTTTATTTTAAATTTCTTTAGTGTCACTCTGCATAATCTGACAGCTTTTTTGCATTCCTCATTGAACCATGGCCTATTGTATTTTGAAGAGGTGGAGTTTTTTGGTATATGTTTCCAAGACACTATAGAAGCCTGTGTCAGTTTTGTTGGTGTGCTTACACGGCCCATCAAGGTTGAAAATGGAATGAAGCAGGGAGATCTTCTGGCTCCTTCTCTAAGCTGATGACTGTGACCTGGTTGCACACACAACTCAGCACAGACAGTAGTTCATGGATTGACTATCAGGGTGTAAGGCTTTTGAACTGTCCATCAGCCTTGACAAGACAGTGGTGATGTATCAACCTGCCTGAGGAATTCAGTATATAGAGCCATCAATTTATGCTGATGGTAGTCTACTTGGGGTAGTTGAGAAATTTGTATACCTTGATAGCACCCCCTGATGCATTTGCAGCACTCAAGTGCCATGTTTGGAGTCAGAAAGGCATAAAAAAGCAGACAAAATTAAAATATATAATGGCTGCATTATATCATCTCTGCTATATTCATATGAGACATGTGTAGTCTATTGCAGACATCTGAAGATACTGGAACATTTTCATCAATGCTGACTTTGGTTTGTGCTTGAAATCCACTGGATGTCTCACAGCCCTGATACTGTTGAGCCAATTAACTCTGTGTGTTGTTATTTTTGAGGTTAAGGTTAGCTGTTTTAAATTTTTTGTAGATAATTTAATTTTTTTGTTTGGATCAACTGGGGTAGTGTATTTCTTTATGATATTTTTCTATCATAAAGAAATAAACTTAAATAATTACATGAATTTTTATCATGAATAAGAACACATACATAGAAAAAATTAATTCACTACTCAACAATAACAACAACAGATAAAAAAATAAACAAAAAATAACTCTAATGAAACACAAAAATTTAACAAGGAAATCAGGAAACTAATTAAAAATGAAAACAAAACTTGGTATAGACTCATAGAATATCATCTCCTAGAACACCCAAACTTTATGGTCTTCCTAAAACCTACAAAACAGATATCCCAATGGGCCCCATCATCTCAGGAATAGACAGCAGCCCTCATAAACTAATGAAAGCCATAACAAAAATTCTAACCCCTCTCCTTGAAATAATCAGTTTATCTCATATAAAGAACTTTGGCAGTCTAATTAAAAAAAACTAAGGGAAATGAATATGACCGACAAATGCATGGCCAGTCAAGATATAAAATCCCTCTACACCAACATCCCAGTTGAAAAATGCCTAAATCTCCTAAAAAAGCATCTAACACAATCAAAAATAAAGCTCTCTCTACCCACAGCTAAAATAATAAAAATCTGCCATCTCATCACCAATCACTGCTAGTTCACATTTAATAGTGATTGTTACAAACAAAAATTTGGATTGTCAATGGGATCACTTCTCAGTGGAGTGAGGGCATGTATCTTCTTCAAATTTCTCAAATCTGGTCATTTCCAAAATATTTTACCCAAACACTCAATATACTTCCATCATATCGATGATGCTCTACTTATACATCCTTGTGATACTGATTTACCTCACCTAGTAGATCAACTTAAAGTCGAACACACTATAGAATTTACATATGAAATGGAAGAACACAATTCCTTATACTTCCTAGATATCAAACAACACCACATTAACAACAGATTAAAACTTGGTATCCATCAGAAATCAACCAATAAAAATGACCTAATATATTTCTATTCTCATCATAGCAGCAAAATAAAATCCAGCATAATCATTGGATTCTACTTAAGAGCACACAGAATGAATATGCAGTCCGCATTATTTCCACAAAGAGGAGAAAAATATTGAAAACACTTTCAAACTTCTCCAGTACCCTAATCATTTTATATTCAATGTGAAATGAAGTACCCATAAAATATTCCAAAACAAAAAAAATGGCTCCTACTGACAAACCCAATGAATCAAAAAGATATTCAACCAACTATCACATCTATAATTGAAAAGAATCTATCTAAACTCAACATAAAATGTGTTACTACTACATCCAAAACAATAAAAGACTTAGTCAATACAAAACAAAACAATAACCTAAAACCTGAAGGGGGAATTTACTCCATCACTTGAAATAATTGTCACAAAAAATACATAGGAAAAACCTCAAGGAATCTAAATAAAAGATTATATGAACACAAAAATGACATTTTACAAAATTGTCTGCCCTCCATAACAAGGCTGGTAACAGCTTTCACATGAAAATTCTACTCTAATCAAAGGAGAAAATAATTTTATACAAGGTAAATGTCTAGAGAGTGCCTTAATCACAAGGTCATCTACAGTAAATTTGCACCCTGGCTACTTACAACATTTCACCATTCCTGGTAGATCTTCTATTATCATGGCATGGAATACCTACTTATAAAAGTGATGGAAAGAAAAAGAAAAATTCTAAATTAATTCTGCTAGAAAAAAAAGAAATTCTAAAATTTCCAACATCCCTCTGTTGTGTGCATGTATAGTCCTACCAATATAACATACAGTGTAACCCGGATATAAGAGAGTTGTCGGGACCGGAGAAGAAGTCTCTTATATCCGGGTTTGGTCTATTTTGTTTAGGTAAGTATGGAAACACTTCATATAACGCTTTTTATGTACAGAACACTAGTTTATTTAACAGTTATAGACATAAAAAACACAGACAAAAATACATTTTCAATCAGTTTTCAAAATAATTCAATCAAAAATTACTTTTTCTTAAAAAAAAGTCAGTCATTTTTGATTGTACAGAAATCTCTTTGTTAACATCATGAACACTTTCATACAGTCCGTAAATCATTTTCAATGCGCCATTAGGATTACTGCTTTTTGATTCAAAGTAGGCTGTCAGAGTTTCAAGCGCATTCAATGCAGCCAGAGAATTTGGCACTGGTTTGTCACTTTCAGAAACTTCAGAACTTACGCTTTCAGCATGATCATCTTCGTCAAAATCTTGAACATCTGATTTTATACCACGTGTGATGTCCGTGTCAGTCAGTTCTCCATAACATTGTGTATGGTCGTCAACGCTGATAAATTCGTCAAAATCTGTTTGCCGTGGTTTTGCCGACTTACCAACAACTACAGCTTGCTTTTCACTGCCATCCATGTTTGTGAACTGAAGCATCGTGAGTCTGTCTTTGGGAACTTTTGTCCCATTTGACTGTTCGTCGCCGGCAAATCGCAAAGATCCAGACGGCATGGCTTTGTAGAAAATTCCCGTTTCATCACAGTTCCAAACATCTTTTGGATCATATCCACGAAAAAGTTGCGGCAAAAGGTTTGTCACCCATTCGTTGGCAAAACCGTGATCTGCTGACGTTGATTCGCCGTGAAATTTTTTGAACGAAACGTTATTGTGTAAGCGCCCGTTAACGCCCTTGTTCACGGATTGGCGCTTTAAGTTTTTTATTAGTGTTTCCGCTCATTTGCATGCAAGATCTGAGATCGTCTTGTTTCTTGAGAATTTTTAACTGTTTGAATAACCGATTCTGTACTTTTTGGCTGCAGCGCCAGTTTGAGTTTCTTCACTTTGACATCGTCGATGAGCTCCAACTGTTCAGAAATGCTCAGAGTTTTTCGTTGAGACATCACTAATCGCAATGATCACAAGCAAACGGTTTTCAGTGGCAAAATTAACAAACAAACTTCTGACTCAACAGAACAGTGGGTAAAGTGAAAGTGCTGTCCAGTAAATGCAACGACCAGCAAAGTCGGCAAAAAAGTGGGCGGCGCTACCCTTAGACACACAAAGCAAAATCATAAGGTAGAGGGTGTCTCCTACAGACACAGATTGGACACACCGTGTCTCTAGACTAGTCAGGATTAAGTCATTGAACTTCACTCTCTTACAACATCACACTGTCACTCAAAATGAACTCTCTTATATCGGGGAGGATGGGACCAGAGAAAATTTCTCTTATATCCGGGTTTCTCTTATATCCGGGTCTAATTTATATACATTAACACAGGCTCTAATTTGGGACCAGAGAAAATTTCTCTTATATCCGGGTCTCTTATATCCGGGTTACACTGTATTTATCTTTTCATATTTCTGAGATGAGGTATTGCAATTATTTACATTGTTCAGAGTGTTGTCCTCATCTTTATTGCCATATTCCCAATGCTTCGGCCGTTACACACTCAAACCTTCTTCAGTGGATTGGAATTTTGAATTGAACTCTTTCTTTCACCCACCATAGTAGATTAGAACATGTGAACTCAATAAGATCATCAATACATTTCACAATTAGATAGAGAAAACAACAACAACTCACATTCCTGGATGTACTAATATCTCAAACAGAGCATGGGTTCAAGACAACTGTATACTGCAAGCCAACATTCACCAGACAATACCTCAACCTCAACCCCCACCATCACTCATACAGTATAAAGAAAGGAATAGTCTGCTGCTTACAACATCAAGCAAAAGTCATGTGGCGACCCAGAGACACATGAACAAGAAATGGTCAGTATAAACAGTATCCTACAATTTAACAACTACTTTGGGTAAATGGCAGCAGCTCTGACAAATAAGGAGAGAAGGAGAGAAGAGGTTAACAACACCGAGAAAATAGTTTGGGTCTGCCTACCTTATGTGAAGGAATTATCAGAAAAAATACAAAAGATCTGTGGTACATATAACATCAGGACAACACTTCACAGATACCTCTTCCAAGTATAACCCTCCCCCCACCTATAGAGGAGAACATGGCTAACAACTGTGTGTATACCATCCCATGCAGCTGTGGTAAGAATAAACAGGCCATCTCCTTAAGGTAAGACTGCAAGATCATTACAAAGCCATAACATGAGGGGAAATAAAAAAATCAGGCATAGCTGGCCACATATGGAGGGAAAAAGGATCACCACCACATGGCAGGAGGTGGAAACAATAGACAGAGAACATCACTGGAAAATATAAAAAGCAAGGAATCAGCACATATGCTAGGCCACAATATATATATATATATATATATATATATATATATATATATATATATATATATTGTTGTGATCTCAAAGTTAAAAAAATTCTTAAGTGTCAAGTTATGGAAAGTAAAATTTTCTGTCATGAAAATGATGTTAAGACATTTGAATCTATACTACTGAACATGATTTCCAAAATGACCAACATAAAAAAATTTATTAATTCTAAACAATGAAATAATGAAAATATTTTCATTCATCTACATACAAAAATGACAAAACAAACAGAAATATATCAATACTGAATAAGATCTGCATTACTGCATCTATTTTTTATTTAAAAATAAGTTAATTCTGAAGTATTACGTAATTGCACAATTCATTAACAGGTTTGAGAAATGGTTAACTTACAAACAATTCAAGTCCTTTGATACCAGAATAACTTTTGCAAGGCGAGGATCTAATGGGAATGCAGCCATTTTTTTACCAATTGATGTTAACTGTAAAAGAAAATATTTAAATTTTTATAAAAATATTAAGTACAAAACATAATGAAAATTATAAATTTAAAACCTAACAAATAGTATTTTGTTAAGCATCTTTCACAATCATTTAGATTTTGTCAGTAAAAAAAGTCAGTTTAAAAATAACCAAAAAAAGTAAAAATATTGCATAGGTGCTGGGAAGATTTAAATAAGGATTCTTTGATGCTATAATTTTTTTCAGTAGATAATAGACATCCTCAGTTCCTTGTTTGAAGCATTTTGAGATTGTGGGTCCTTTTGTCTGGGTCCTTTTACAAGTTTTCCTGGTATAAATTTTCAACCCAGTCCATCACTGCTAATAATAAGCATGTAACATGGTTAATGAAGAATAATTGGCTATTATCAATCATGGTTGCAGACAAGCATGTGAAATGATTCATAGAGAATAAACAGTTATCATCAATCACAGTTGATTTGTTTTGTTTTACAGCATATCAATCCATTGCCATTTAGTGTCGAGATATATTTTTTTTCCTAAATAAGGTCTTGTATTTAAACAGTAAAAAAATAAAAACAGTTTTTTTAAATAGTAATACTGCTGTTAGTTATGGCCATATTTTTTAATTATATTTTTGAGATTAGTTTAATTTCTTAGAAAATGGAATATGTAAAGCGGATCAGTATGTTGAAAAGTTCTTTTATGTTTGGAAGTATTTAAGCAGATTGAATTAAAATTACTGCAGTTTGTCAGTATGTTTTATAGTGTATGGCACATATACAAAAGGTTCTTCCGTTTTTAGGTTATAGGTTATGGTAGTGTGTGCAATATGGAGCTTGGATATAATCATTTCTCTTCTAGTTTGGTGTTTCTGATGCCATTCTCCTATAGTAGGTATCATTTTGTACAGTTTATTGTTTGGACAGTTCTGCCACTTCTTGCTAATATATTTGATTGTTGGTTTTACGTCTGTATATGAGATCTGATGTGTTTTTGTAGTAATTGATTTTTTGCTGCTGAATCCACTCTAGCATTCCCTGTAATACCAATATGGCTTGGCATCCAGCAGAAGAAAATATTTGTATTTAAGCTATTGATCTTATTGAGTAGTTTAATGATGAGTGGGTTTGACATTTTTTTTTGTTTTTCAGTCACTGAGATGGAGTCAGTGTATATAATATTTTTTTATGTTTACTTGAATTTATGATGTCAATGGTCAAGTCAATAGTTGTCACCTCAGCACTATTTAAGGCTGAGGTGACAACTGAGGTGGCTTTGTTTGGTGTGGTTTCATTAATTTTAATTTGTGGTGGATGGCTACAAATCTAACTTTATCATCATCTTTAAATACATCCATATAGATGGTCAGGTGGTCTATGTAAACACCTTTGAAGGAGAGTAATTCTTCATGGAATGTGATAGGATTGGTTTTGGATTTTTGGAAGTTTTAATAGGACATTTGGTTGTTTTATACATGGAGGTGTTTTAGAGTTGATGGTCTCATGGATTTGTGCTGCATTTATTTGTGTGATATTTTTTTCAAGGATATTTTCATACAGATGCTATATGGTTTGATGGCATTGTCTTTTCTGTTAAAGAGGTCATGTATTGTGGATGATGTAGGATTTGATGGGCAGGTTGAGTTTAATATTGAAGATCCAATCTCTTCTGTTGCATTGCTAATGGAGGTTCATGTGGTTCTGTGTACAGGCTTTCCACCAGGGATGTGGTGAAATCTCTTAAGGCTATTCTTAATCCTTGATGATGTACTGTGTTTAGTTCTTTTGTGTAGCTTTTTCTTGCTTCGCCATATATAAAGCAACCTTAAACAAATTTCAATCTAATTAATGAGCAGTATATCTTGAGTAATGATTCTTTGTTTGCCCCCAATCTCGGTGAGCAATAACTCTAGTCAGAATTTTCTTGCAAAGATTTCAGCAGGGTATTATTTATTATTAGTTTAGGGATTGGGTTTTCCAGTATAATTGGGAAGTGATCACTTCCACATGTATCATTATGAGTTGACCAGGCATAATCATGTATATACTAGCTTCACACATTGTTAAGTCTATGGCAGAGTATGCTCCTGTTGATGTAATTGTTTTATTATTTAGGAGGCATAGCTCTCTTTGATTTAATAATGTTTCAATATGTCTATATTTCTGAGATGAGGTATTATGTACATTATTTACATTATTCGGACTATTGCGACAAAGATGAGGACAATAGTCCAAATAATGTAAATAATGTTAATAATGTTTCTATAATTTTTGCCTTTCTTATTTGTTTCTTTATTCCCCTTATATTATGTTATCACTCTTTATGTGAAGGATTTTTATAGTTGCTGTATTAATTTATGTAACTCAGTTTCATTAGGGATTTCAATGAGAGGTATGAACATAGAGTAGAAGGTTGTTTTGTGAAGGGTAACTGTTATTGCTACCACTTGTAGGTTTGTATCCAGTATTGTTTCACTATGAGGTATGGTATTATTAATGAGTATTGATAAGCCTCCAGCTCTATAAGCTTGTTTGATGAAATTGTAAAATAAATAATATTTTATATTGAGTGTCTTTCTTTCAGGTGAAACATAATTGCTGGGTTCTAGGTTTGATGTGAGGATAATTAATTCATTGTTATTAGTTTTCCATCTTTTATGTTCCATTGTATTATTTTGTTTATTAGTGTCTTTAGATGTATCTAAATATGTTTATGCTATGTTAATTGAATATTTTATGCATTTTATTTTTTGGGATTTGTTTTTAGAAATGCTTATAGGGTCTATGCCCATTTTTTCTAGAGTTTCAAATCTATTTTCGTTTCAAGAGTGTTTTTAGTTTGTGTTTGTTGATGTTTTTGTATTCTTGTATTTTCTTTGGGAGATTTCTCCCTCAGGTTTTTTGTTAGAGAGTTTTCTTCACAGGAGATTGTTGGGGGCAGATTGGTGATCTTTGTTTTATTAAATTAGATTTAATTAGTGACTTTTGGGTAATTTTCAGCTAAGGCTTCAGGTTGCATTGTTATTCTGGCATTGGTTTCATTATATTTCATTGCATTATTCAGACTTAGTCTGATGTTATTTATAAATTTCGGCCAGTCATTTGGCCCTAATTGAATTAATCTTTTCATCAAGTTATCATATTTCTGATGATTTTCTTGCATATTAATTTCTGTGATTTGTGCATAACTTTTTTCTTTCAGATATCCCTCCACAATCTTACATGCTTCAACAAAATAAATTCTTTTGGTATGTTTTACAGTCATTATTTCTCTTTCCTCCAAATCTTACATACTCTGGCATATACAAGGTGTTCTTCACTACAACTCATACATTTACATATATCTCTGCATTCATTTGTGATGTGATTTGGATCTTTTTGCCTACATTGACCATATACTGCATTACCATAGCATCTGTCCTTGTGATGTCCAAACCTCTGACATTTGTAACAACAGACAGGGTTTGGGATGAAGGGTTCAGTCTTTTCTAAGTTATATCCAATTTTTATTTCTTTGGGGATGGTTGGTCTGGATGTTTTCATTATTCTTTTAAATTCTCATTCTTCTGACATCCATGACACCCTGCTTTTTCAGTACATTTTTTATCTCTTCACTTCATATAATGCCAAAATCAATGCCAAAATAAAAATGCAACCTGAAGCCTATATAGGGTGAGTTCCCTACTTTGTACTACACCCCATGAGGTGTTCAGTTTTTTTTGTGAGAGTATGCCATTATTTTTTTTTATTGTGAAAGGTCATCATTTTCAGTGGTATCTGTGCTTGTCCTTTCTTATTTAACCTTAACCAAAATTGTGCCATATTTTAGAAAAATCTCTTTGAGAACAAAACATGTTTGTTATTCCTTTTCTTTCACTTATTCTGTTCCATCCATGTATTAAGGTGTTACTTCATCATCGATATAATAATGGGGGAAATGTGAAAAGCAAATATTCCTTTCCTTGTATAGCACTCCCTATAAACTGGTGGCTAAGACATGTCTATTAACAAAATATTAACTAATGACTTTCCTGATGTATCAATTAACAAAATACAGATTTAACATGTATTTCCTATCATGGTAAATTTCAGAACAGAAAAGACAATATTGTCACAGAAAAGTTTAGCAATGACCTTGTATTCTTTCATGCTAAATAATTGCCATTTCTTGGCATTTTAACTGAAGACTTCACAATGTATGAAATCCATCTGTCAATCTGATAATACCCACAATGGGGAAATGAAAAAGAAATATTACTGTTCTTGAATAGCATGCACTATACAGTGAAGAACTAACTAATCACACTGCTTGGCCTGAAAATCCTTTTCTACAATGATGCCTACTTTGAGGCTGATCTTTATTTTTGCATTAGTTTGCATCTGTGAATTTATGAGTTATATTTCTAAGTGAATGTTAACAAAACAAGAGCCTAATGGATATATCAGTTGCCTGCCTCCAGATCAGATATTTGAATCATGCCAAGTTTCACTTAATTTTACTCTTTGCTTTCTTTGAACCACTAATGAAACAACAAAAAAAGTAATTTTATATATATTTACCAATCATGCAACTTAATCTCTCTTGGTTAATAAGATATTCTGTTGCTATAGTAACACAAATGCCATTCTCAAATCTGTTTCTCATTGCTATACAACAGTACTTTCCATCACTTTTGTTTCATGTTAGTTTTCTTTGAATATTTTTACTTTTAATGGTTTAAAAAAACTGAATGTGAACTGCTCAATAACTATACAACAGGAAATTTTATTTTATTCAAAGAAATTTTTTGTTTATTTTTTATTTAAAAACAAAAACAAGCTAGAGTTTTGTTTGCTTGTTTCAAGTTATTTTAAATAATTTAATTAAACATAATTGATTCCTGCTGCATTCTCAACTTAACAAAACATCAAACCAATTATCTGTGCTAAAATTTAAATTAAATAAAATTCTAAGTATTCAATGGTCAACAGAATGTTACTTAATTTGTTTGATATTC